AATACAAGTACTGATCATAAAATGTATATCTTTCAATTTATGTTTATGATAAATACTGATACAGATCCACCAAAGAAAACAAAAATTTACTTTAATTCAAATAGAATTGATTCAGGAAATTCATCTACTATTAAAAAATTAGAAGATTATGGTGAATATTATAGTAATGGATATATGATATTCACTACTAAAGAATATGTTAGTACTGTTGGAGTATATATATTAAATTATATTGATGGAACACTTACATATAAAAATGCAGTAGATATAGTTCAATCATCACCAAATCAAAGTTTTATTTATTATATTGATTCGAAAACACCATTTGATGTTTGGAATGATGAAGAAATAAAGAGATGAACAATTTTATTTAAATATAACTGAGTTATTCTTCATTTATTATGAGTTTTTGTTAATATATAGGATAAAACCTCAATTTAATTAGTATTTAATGTACTCCATCTGATTACTTTCATTCATATTTGATGAACAAGTATAGCGGTGCAATTGTTATAAGTGGAAGTATAGGAGTTGGAAAAACAACAACAATACAAGCATTAATTGAATATTTTAATAAAGAGAATGTAGGAATAATAGAAGAATATATTGATTATTCACCTAGAATTGGAAAAATGTTAATATCAGATGTAGGGAATGGAATAGAAAGAAATTACACATTACAAAAATTTATTCTTCAATGTTATGAAGAACAATTAAAAAATAATAAAAATAAAAAAGTAATAATTATTGAACGACATCCTCGTGAAGCAATTGAAGTATTTTGTGAAATAGATAAAACAATGACAGAAAAAGAAAGAGAAGAAATTACGAATAAAATATATTTAATAGAAAAAGAATACCAATTAGAATATAATAAATATAATACATATTGTATTTCAACTGATTATGCAACTCCAAATATTATAGCAAGAAATATCTTTACAGAATGGATAAAAAGAGAAAATATAGAAAATGAAACATTTCATGTATTTTTATATGCTAATGAAGAAAATCAAAAGAAAAGAATTATAAAAAGAAATAGAGGAGTTATTTCAGAAATGAATTTTTATTATGTTAATCAAATTAATACTCTTTATAAACATTATTTAAATGAACATTTTACTTCTAAAGAAAATAATGAAGAAACATTATTTATTAAAAAATTACATAAAGATGCAATTATTCCTACAAGAGGAACAGAACAATCAGTAGGTTTTGATTTATATAGCATTGATGATAATATTATTTATCCACATGATAGATGTTTAATTTCTACAGGAATTGCTGTACAAATTCCACATTTCTGTTATGGTAGAGTTGCACCACGTTCATCATTAGCAATTAAATATGGAATTGATATTGGAGGAGGAGTTATTGATGAAGATTATAGAGGAGAAATAAAAGTAATAGTATTTAATCATTCAAATACTATATATAAATGCAAGAAAGGAGATAGAGTTGCTCTACTTATTATTGAAAAAATAAAACAATGTAAAATTGAAGAAGTGAAAGAAATAAGTGAAACAATAAGAGGAGAGAAAGGATTTGGATCAACAGGTAAATGAATAATTTTTGATCTTTTTAATTTCATTTAAAAATACAGTATGGAAAATAAAATAATCATTAGTGGAGGAATTGGGACAGGTAAAACAACAATAATAAAAGCATTAGCAAAATACTTTAATCCAGATGAAGTAGGAATAATAGAAGAACATGTCCGATGGGATGAAATAAATAAAGTACTACAAACAACAAGTAAAGAAAATTCAAATAAAAAGAAACAACTCATTGAAATACTTAAAGAATATTTAAATGATTATGAAGAACAAATAGAAAAGAAACAAAATAAAAGAATAATACTTATTGAAAGACAACCAATTGAAGTAATTGATACATTCTGGGATCCAGAAGAAACAGATGATTTATTAAATACTCAAGAAATCAAAATATTAAAAGAACAAGCAAATAAAATAATTACTAAATATATAATAAAATATGAAGAACAAATAGAAGGAATAATGAGAACAAATGAATTATTAACACCAAAAGCATTAGCATCAGAACTATTTTCTAAATGGTTAACAAGAAACTCTCGTTTATCACGTTCATCAATTTATCTAATTTTTCTTGGTGTTAATGATAAAATAATAACTAAAAGAATGAGCACTCATCCATTAAAACCAGAGATACGGTATGATATGAATAATTTATATCTTGAAACATATTCTGCTAATTATCTAAAATATTATAAAGAATTGAATTAATTTTAATTTTAATCTGTTCCTGTTTTTTCTTTAACAAAATATTTGTTATTACAAATATATTCACATCCTCCTTGAACAGTACATCTCCAGAAACAATCTTGACATACAAGCATAATTGGACATCTATCATTTATATCTTCTGTCCATGGATTTTTCAAATAGGGATGAAGTTGTTTAAATGGTAATACTATCACGGCTTCTGTATTTAATATTTTATATAACAAACAATAGTACTGATATGGATCGTTTTTAATAAGATTGAACAATAATAATGGAGATAAGAAGTTCTTAAAAACAATTT